TATCCTATCCTATCCTATCCTATCCTATCCTATCCTATCCTATCCTATCCTATCCTATCCTATCCTATCCTGTTTTTTGTTTGCTTTTGTAAAAGCAAATATGTCTCCTTCCCTTAGCTTGAACAGGAGACATGGCACAAGAAAGGGATCTAAATGTTTCTATTAATGCCCCAAGGCCATGGTCAAGATTTCTGTTTCTCCTTAGATGTGGTGAGGAAAGTGTTGCAGCCTCATGTTTTAAATGCATAAATTTCACTCTGGTGAAGAGCCCTAAGAAGATAGTGTGGATTTGAAAGTCCTCAATACGAAGAGGTGTTAGATCTTCCTTATCCCATTAACCCTATCCAAATCAGGACCTCTAGAAGCTGTTCCTACAAAAGTGAAATCATATTTAGGAGCTTCATCATAACGTGTAGTTTGGCTTTGTTATCTCATTACAGTGACTTGTTCATGCATTTACTTCCCACTAGGAACCTCTTCTTGGGTGGCAGTGTCCTTACCCTTCAAACCTAATTTGTAAGCAGATGTTGCCTAAAATAAAATATGTTGGATAAAAAAGAGTCTCAGTACGCACATGAACCTCACATTTGAGCTAGCTGCACTTTTTTTCTTTACTAGGTGAGGCAACTGTAAAGAAGAAACCAGCTCCAAAGACTCCGCCCAAAGCAGGTATTGATTGCTCAGCATTAATACAGAATGCAGGGACTGTCACCATTCTGAGAAGACTGTGAGCCATGAGTTGGTAGCTCAGGACAGCATTTGTTTATTTAAAATGTTTAAACTCTATATTCTGTTAAAAAGATTTTCATGTGATTCTGTCCAGAGGCTTACAGTCTGAATTATATAGCAGAAAGACAAAGGAATGGGGAGGAAAAGGTTAAAAAGCAAACCTTCCGTTCTTAAGTTTAATCATACTTCTTTTTTATATCAGTATTAATTAATTAGAAAATCTTATATTGAGAATATTACAATTTAGAGTATTTAGCATAAAATTATTTGACTTTTGTATACCAAATTGATTATAACATTAGAATAGAAGAAACTGTGGCAGATTATATCAAACTGTTTGTTGTACAGTAAAGGTTTTGATTTTGAGCTAAGTACTTAGTACTGAAGTCTCTATGGTATTGTATTGTATTGTACTGTTATGCACACACATAAACACATGTTAATAAATGGAAAAAATATTACCAAAATCAATTTAGTAAGAATTAAAATATCAAAGTTCTTAAGTTTAATCATAATTCTTATAGTGACTAGAATTTCAAGTGACAGAAGGAAGCAGCTAATCACTCAGCAGAACACCTGGAATGGTGGCCCTTTCCCCCATCCTTCCCTTGTCCATATCCTGCTGAAATGTCTTAGTTAATTTATCTATGAAAAAATACAAATACCTGTGGAATATTAGTGGTATCAGATTAGTAGATTAATCAAAATAAGGAGACTGAAGAAGATAACAAATTGAAAGATTATTCAAGTTGTGCTTACATTTTCATTAAAAAAATACAGTGAATTTTCCATCCTAATTTTTACCTATGTGTCCTTAAGCTAAACACCTGAACAACTTATGACCTACCAAGTCAAACGCAATCAAACAGCCATATAGTATGGCCAATCTGTTTTGTAAGAAACTAAAAAAAAAAAGGGGGGGTCTATTGTTCTACCAAAACCACTGGAAAAGGAATAAATGAACTCCTCCAAGCCCTGGGTTAATTTAAAACAGATTTGTTCTCTTAAAATCTGAAGCAGGGAATTTAAGAGGCTCCCTGGATCTAAATCAAGGAGATCCAAAGGCCAAGAGAACCCTCCATGGAAGTGGGGTTCCTTTCCATCTTTACTTTGCATGGGATGATTGCTAGAGTAGCCAGTACAACCCTGGAATACTTTTTCCCCTGTAAAGAGTCTCTGAAGTTGGATTGGGCTTACAGCTTTAGCAGGAAAAGATTTGTACAGGCTGACAAAGTTGTCAGTGCATTCAAGCTTTGGTCAGGCAAGAAAGACCTTGATACCCAGTTGTATGCCAAGGAAACTGGCAGTTCTTTTCCAGCGCTGATTTATCAGCACAGATTTATAAAGCTCCCTCTGTCCTTTGAAATTTGACTGATATTCATTTATGAGTTTGACTCAAAAGAGGTTTACCAACATCCTTATTTCGGATACAAATTTTGCTAGCAGGCATTGAACCACTAAGGAGAGGTTGAAACGTTCCATTATCATACCCATGAGCTAAATCCTGGATTTTTGTTAGATATAGCTTTGGACTGAATAAACAACTGGTTTCTATTTTACATATCTGCTTCAATATATTCCTACTTTTTATCTCTGAAAAAGATCCTCAGAAGTATTTCCTCTTTTATCAGCTGTTCCTCCTCAGATTGTTCAGTTCCCAGAAGACCAAAAAGTACGGTCTGGTGAATCAGTAGAGCTGTTGTGCAAAGTAGCAGGAACCATGCCTTTAACATGTACTTGGATGAAATTTCGGAAGCAGGTAATAGAATCCTTGCTGCTATTCTCTTAATCCTAAATTACATAATAGAAAATGGAATCTGAAAAAAATGTTTGCATCTATGGAATTTTCATTAAGGCTGAGAATAATTTCTTACACATGCAGTCAAAAGCCTAACATGTAAACAAATGTACATTGGGAAGGGCAAAATCCTTTAAAGCTATGAAATTTTGGTAACAATAACTCTGCAGCTTCTTTGTCCATGCACAATATTATTCTGAACCCCAGCCAGGAATGCATTTGGGGTAAAGGAAGTGTTTGTGGTATATTTTAAAGTAATTAATATCTCTGGTTTTTGGGGAGCAGAAATGGGCAAACTATACTTGACATTAAATATGTTGCTTGTAGTTATGTGAACACTTTCTGTTTTTAAAAAATGAGATTTTTTTTTTAAGGAAAGTAGGCACAACAATCCCACATCTGAGGATTGAAAATTGGATATGCTGGTAGGAAGATTAGATTTTTTTATTCTGCCACAAGATGTAGACTGAATAAAAAACTCTACAACTGTAAAGAAAAATGTTAACCGTGACCTAGAAAATCCCTATCCTGATTCTGATCACTTCGTTATTTAAAAAATATTCATTGAACTATAAATAATGCACTTAACTATCTGTATATGGTTATCAGATGCCCTTTATCTCATTGTAAAACATTTTAAACAAACCAAAAAAAGCTTGATTGATTGCATTTCTCTCCTTACAATAATTACTGGAGAAGAGCCTTTTTTATTTTTGCTTCTAAAATGTAATGTCTATTTGCATTGACAGTATTGTACATTATTAGAGATAAACATATAATTACACAAATAAAATAAATCCTCTCCCAACTTCTTCTGAGATCTCCCACAGAGCACAATGGATGTAACTTTGTCTGAACTCAGCCTGCTATGGAGACAGTGGAAGAGAGCCTACAAATGTTTGATTATTGCTTCAGGTTACAGGTCCCAAACCCAAATGTATGCTTTGGTTGCTGAATTTTGAAGCTTATGCATCATTAATTTTCATTTGCTGCTCTATCCCTTAGGGCTACATTTATATTGATAGAAATAGATAGATATTCTTTCTATCTATATATTCTTCATTATACTGGTGTAGGCTTTCATGGCTGGAATCTGTTGGGTAGTACTGGTTTAGTGACTGTGGTCTAGACAGATTTCCTGATGTTTTGCTGGTAACTGTGGCTGGCATCTTCAAAGGCATGGTGGCCTGCTATGTAGACCACAGGCAACTGAGCAGGGACTGACTGGGCTCCTGTCTTTATAGCCAGGTGACCCGACTACTGATAGGTCTTTAGCTGACCTGGTTTCTGACTGGTGCAGGTTGGTGAGAGCTGGTCTCTGATTGGTTCTTTGTTTGTGTTTGATCCTGATTGGTTGTTTTGGTGGACTAAGAAAATCCAGGAAATCATTTGATCAGCCAAGGACAGCAGAGACTCGCTCACAGCATCCGGGGTCTATCACATCCCCTGTAGCTATGGACAGGTGTACATTGCTACCACAAAACAGTTTCTGCACCTGACTGAAGGAACACGAGAGGCACTGTAGACTAGGACAACCCAAAAAATCATCAGTAGCAGAAATTGTGCTGCACCATAATGATCATGAAATTCAATTCAGGGATACACAAGTGCTGTCAACAACATCAAACTATTACGTACACCTGCACAGAGAGCCTATTGAGATCTACAAACATCCCAACAGCTTCAACAAGAAAGAAGAAAGTCTGAAGGTTAACAAAGCCCGATTTGTCCTAGGTCACCCATGGTAGATCAATACTACAAGTCAATAGTTTTTAGTATCCTCTTTGTAACCCTAATATTTCCAGTGGTCTTAAGACCTTAACCATCAGTTTTATTATGAATCAAACGTGCAATGTTGAATGTTTTCATCAATACCTTTTTCAAAGATTTCTAGGATTTGACAGTATCACCATACCATACTCACTAACAATAATTTCATTGAGCAGAAGTTCCCTAACATAGGAATGGTATTAATGCACAGTTGGAAATGGAATACTGCCTAATACATGTATTTAGTTTTTGCTTGCATGGAACATCTGGATTCCATATCTGGGATGCTTGCTGAGTGCTAGTAAAAGAACTGAAGGGAGTTGAAAAGACAATGCCAATTGACAACTGAAAATACTACCATTTTTTCTCTGAAGATAATTGTGATTTTACTACTTGTACTGCAGGATCAGCTTGATGTTTTGCCAAAACAGGCTTTATAATCTCCATGATTTTTTTTTATTATTTTCTCAAAAGTTATGGAAAGACAAGCCAAACTAAATAGCCTTTATTTTTTAATGAAACTCGATGGATGAACTGGAAAAACTATTCTCTAACAAGAAATTGATGGAGTGACAAGAAAGCCATTGACACAAATATTTTCACATCTAGAAAACACTGTGCTTTTCTTTGTACACTTATAATTAAATAATATCTTTTTGCTAGTCCCTATTTATGCATACTGATTTCTTTTTAAAATATTTTATTAGCATTTTTAATAAATACAATTTTAATGTTTTATACTTTTATTGTATTGAAAAATTCTAATAAAATATTTTTTAAAAAACCCAATTTCTAAGTACGATTACATTTTATGTCCCAGTACTCATCTTGACTGTACAAAGAGATGGTTCCAGGTATGTTGACAGACATACAGAGCAAACGTGGATGTTGTTCTTCTGAAAACATGTAAATACTCCTTTCCATGCATCAGTCCAGTTTTATTTATTCTGTCCAGTTTGGGAAATTGCTGCATTTGCTGTGACCTTTTAAATCATCAGCTGAATGTACAGATTATTATTTAGTGCTATTTATTTTTATTCTGTATTGTTTCTTCTACCAAGATAATAATGTAAGTGTAGCATTTGCAAATCCGTGGTTTACTTAGTAATTATTGGAGCTGTTTCATGTGGCTACTGTAAACGCTAATTAAACTGGGCTGCCACAAGGTGAATGCAGGTACTGTATTTAAGAGCCTGACTCTTTTTTTCATGTTTTAAGTATTTCCTCTAGAAAGCCCCAGTGTATCCTTAACAGGCATGTTTCCTGCATATAGTGTGAAGCTCAGTTAATGAGGCTGAATAGGTATTTTTTCCCCATCTGAGGTAGTGGAATCCAATTCAAGATTTGGGAAGACCAACAGTTCCAACTGGAAAAACTAAGGGCTGATTTCAAGTCTGGTAAACACTATTTAGGAGGTAATGGGTGAAGTAATGCTATTTTAGTGTATTCTGTCAATAGTGCCTAACTGTTCCCAATACTATAGAGCTTCTTAATCTCTAGTGTGATTTCAGTAACTAGTGGAAAGAAGCTTATGTGTTCAAGCAGACACAGAATTTTCACAACTGGACATTTCTGCAGTTGGAAGAGTAAGAAGCACAGCTGCTCCAGGTTCACCTGTTATTATTGACCATATCATCTATAAAGGAAGAAATGAAGTAATAAAATGCACAAAACCCCCAATTCTTTTAAGGGCTGGAATGAATATTTTCGTGCAATTTTGATAAAAGTCACAGTATTTAAATGAGTAAACTATTAAATGTTAGGGCTAATTTTTTGTATGTGTGATTTAAAACTGGCTTTTTGCTGTTTAATATTAGGTATTAATTCATAAATTATTTATAGTCAGTCTTGCTTTTGCTGAGTATAATTAATTGGTTTAAAAAGCAATATGATGCTGAACCAAATCCAAATGGTTATTGTGATCTATTAATAAATCACATCTTGGAACAGTGGCTTATAGTTGATATAGAAAAACTTACAGTGACTTGTAATGTACCGTATATTCAGCCTGATCAGAATCTTTTCCACCAAGATACAGGGACAGTAACTGTAGTGAATAAAGAGGATGGCCTTGAAGGACAGAGGAAAGATTCACTACCAAGGCACAAGATAAATGAAACTTGACCCCAGGCCAAGAAAGTGATTTGTGAAAACATCTTAGACAGCCCCACCCCAATTCTCATGAAGATAAAAGAGGGAGGAAGGGAAGCACGTTCCAACTTGCAAGATTCTGTTACTATAGCAGTTCTAATAAAAGTAACTTTAAGTCTGCACAGTGTCTATTTCTTGGTCTGATCTACCTTAGGCTGATAGTAACAAATAGAACTCTTTTGCCAAACCATTTTCTGGGTGCCTGGCAATAATTACTTGCTGAGTTTAAATCTGCCTAGTAATGGGTCACATGTAACTACCACGCTGTCTCCCCCCAGCCTATTTTTGTTACAATTCATGTCAAAACAGAGCTCTTTCCTGACACCTTTGCGACTTAAAGAAGTCATTCCATCCAAGTATTGTTCCCCTTCCTCCTTAAAATAGTCATTAAGCATCATTAGGAAATCATGTCATAAAAATATGCCAGTACTAAAACATGGCAGAGTTGTTAGGGAAACCATATGCCGGAACTACTGAAAGAAACTGCTGAAGGAAAAAAATGTTTGCTTGTTTCCAATACGAAACATGGTTGGGACTAATAGTAACTTTTGTTTAAGGATATGGCTTGCTTTGATACCAAAAAATCCCCTATGTCATAGTCTTAATTTTTGAAAGTATTGGGTGGGGATGTTGTTATTCATAGTTTATTGATTATAAGGTTTCTTAGACGAGATTGGGTTGGGAGTCTACAAGACTATAGAAATTAAAATAAATAAAGTGTGATAGCAATGTCTTCTCCCAGGCTTTTCTTGACTAGAAATGAATTTAATATGACATGAGAGTATACAGTACACCTTGAGAGGTGATCTAAGGAAAAGAGAGAGTGTTACAACTACCCAAACATACTTCTTTATCACCCCCCTCCTATTAATATATGTAGCTTGTAAAGTCCTGGTTTACTATATTTTTATTATATCTGTATTAATCTACCTGTTTAATTTGGCAGCTCCAGGAAAATGAACACATCAAAATTGAGAATGCTGAGAACAGCAGTAAGCTAATCATCTCCTTCACAAAGCAGGAACATTGTGGATGTTATACTTTAGTAGTAGAAAACAAGCTGGGTAGTAAGCAAGCCCAAGTCAACCTTACAGTTGTAGGTAAGTACAAAAAATTAAGGTTTTATGTTTGTTTTTAATGTTTCTAGAATCAGTTTATATTTTAATCTGGAGTACTTGAGCTAATTATCTAATTATAGATAATTAGATATATAATTTGATGTTACAAATTAAAAAAGCAAACCAAATTCAAAGAAAAATGGTTAATATATAACAAATAAGAAGGGTTTCAATTAGGAAGTTGGAATACTGTTTTCTGTTGACTATATATAGAGATTGTAGAATGAAATTGTCTTGGCATTAACTAGTTATAACCACCTTCTGTAAGGCTGTTAAAACTATTCTGTTCCAACATGCTTTTAGTGTGAATGGTGGACCTGGGTTGCCATTATAATTTTTTAGTATTGAACTTTTCTTATTTACTTGTTTCTACTGTTGTATAATAAATCACACTGAGTCATTGGAAATAGGGTAGTTTATAAAAAATTGTATAAATAGACAAATACCAGAAATCATACTCTGTAAAAGGGCAGGGCCTGGTTAATAAAGAGAGCCAGTGCAGTGCATTGGTTCAGGTGTTGGACAAAGAGCTGAGAGACCCAGGTTCTACTCCCCCCTCAGTCCCTGAGAACTCACTGGTTAATTTTGGGCCACTCACTCTCTCTCAACCCGGCCTACCTGTACTTGGGAAAAATAGGAGGAGGAAGCTACATACACCACCTTGAGCTCCTGAATGGAAGACAGGATCCAAATCTAACATGTAAATAAGTAAAAGTAATTAAGAACTACTAATTAAAATGAATTACCTATAAAATAATTCCCCATTTGCAAAATTGGTATACTTTCTGCATAAACATACCATTTCACTTTACACTCATTAATCACACTGATACCCAAACACACATGCTTCCCTCCCTTCCAGTAGAAACAGCAAAAGAAAAAAAACCAGAATTGTGATATTGTAAGAAGGGGCAGCTATATTAGGAAGAAAAGGAGCAAGAAAGGAAGCAACACAGATGGATGGGGATGAGTATTGGGGAGAGGTAACTGGAACAGAGAAAGAAAGAGAAAGGGGAGAAACCTTGCTTAAGAGCTACAAAATGAGTTAGAATACAGCAGACAAGATCGCTAATCTTCAGAAGCATCTACTACTACCAGCAGCAGTAGTTTTACACCTTCATTTTCACCTTTCTTCTGACTGTCTTTAACAGCAGCTTCTGTTATGAGCAGCCTTCCCTCAATTCACATTGAATAGCTTCCTACTATACTGAGTAAACATGAATGAGGTCATTTTCAGTGAAGTATTCCTGGTTTAAGAGGGTATCTCAAGGGCAGGAATGAACAACTTGGGACCTCAGGACCACCCACGGCCACAGGGTCCCTTTTTCCTCTTGGAGTTCATTCTGATTGTGATTGCTAAAAACTGCCAGCAACATTTTGCACTATTTTGTTATGAGAAGTGGATTAAAACAGAAATACAAGTCCTAGAATAGGCATACCAGAGTTGAAAACCCCAAATCTCCCCCTAAAGCCCAAACTCACACAGTGTAAAGTGACCCTATCTATTTTGCATCCCTCACCCCATTCCAAAAAAATCATGCCTGGTCCTAGCCCACCCAAATATTTTCATTCATCTCTAGAAGCCTACCGTAGAAATATTTAACTTGGTATATAGCAATCACCTATATTGGGCTCTCCCAAAATGATAAATATATTGCAAGCAGCTATTGCCATGACACAGAACAGGGTAAATGGAAGCCCAAGTGCTTCAGTGTTTATTTCTGCACTTCTTTGTCTTGATTGACAGGCCTGTCCCTGTATCAGGACCTTGTTCATTGCTAGGATGGTGTGGTAGCTGTTTGCTGAGAATGCCTAGACAAGGAAAGGGCATCACCATTCTCACTTTGCACAGGGCACCCAAGAAGATTGCCAGTGTGAGGAGCAACTTTAATGAGGACCCCAAGACATTTAAGCCATTAAGGTCAGAAGGTTAGCAAGAAGCGCAACAACAGAGAATATTACTTCCCTTATCAGCAGTCTTATGTCATATCTGTATCTCTCTCATAGGGGTGCATAAATTTGCACCTGATATTTCCAACAACCACCTACTACCATTTTAAACATGGCTATAATTTATTGTAGAACATCTTTTCATAGTTAAGGCAGGTTGTTGTTGAGAGGTTTTTATCATCATCACCATCATACTGGGAAAATTAGTGTGAGCTGTCAAAACAATTAGATTTCAGGACCAAGTGCAAGCTATAAATACCTGTTTATAATAACCATTTGTGTCATTTATGACCATCTTTTTTTTTCAAATGTGAAATTGAAAGCAAGGTGCGTTAATGGCAGCCATACTAGGCTAGGTGACTTGATTGACTAACGGTACTGGACAGCTTCCTCTTTTTGTTGCCTGCAGCTGAGCATGGTTCAGGCTATTCCAGATCTGAAAAACTGTATAGACAGAAAAGGTGGGAAATAACCCTGTATTTGAGAAAAGAATAGTAGGGTTGGGATATTTCAGGTTACATATGGAGGGACTACAAGGGCAGAGAAACAAAATATAAAAAATTGAGTGATTTAAATTGTTTAAGAAATTGTTTAAGGGAAGAGCAAATGGCTTGTCAGATGGATCTGGAGGTTGACACCTTTTACTCAAGTTGAGAGGTTGTTTCCCTGGAAAAAATATTAATCTTAAATTCATAAAGTTTGGTCCCTGTTATCTGATAGCATAAAGACATGAGTAGATTTACAAATTACTAAGTCAAATGTTCTTTTCAGGAATTTTTGGCTTGAAGGTGGTAACTTCAAGGGAGTCAATAAAAGATTTTAGGAAACTGCCTTTGGCCACCACTTACTTTGGCCACCATTTTCTATTTCATGGTTCTGATACTAATATTATTTGCAAATACAATGCATTTTGTTCTTACATTAGTGTTTGGGATTTTTTTTAAAAAAGCTATCCAGTATTTATCTCATTTTGTTTATCCCTTTTTGCCCTTCTGAGCCTTGCTGAAATGTTGTCCCCCACCTTTGCAGTTGAAGTTGGGAACAGTTTATAATTCAGCGCTAACAATTTTCTAAATATTATCAAAGCAAGTTATGTAGTAATGTAAGAAGATGAAGTACTAAGATATAATGAACAAAAGAATTCATTCTCATATTTAAGGATTAAAAAGATATTTCCCAGATTCTCACAAAAGCATAAGAAATCATTGGGATTTAATATCATCATACGTTCTTAATTTTAGCTATAAGACTTAGAGAAAATATTGTAAAATAACATAATAAAAAGATATCACATTAGATGATTTGTCTAATCATCTGAATGTCTAGTACTTCTTAATGGATATAGGTATTCAGCCATAGTAACTGTATTCTGGTTCCTACTATCTCCACTCTTACCAAGTGCACATATGTGCACTCACAAACAATTAACTTGTGCAGAATCCAGAAGTCCATGAACATACACAGTCCAGAAAATCTTACATTTTTGGCTTTAAAAGTCTAATTCTAATGGGTTATGCTAAGTAGAATATGAGAAATGCCTGTTAATGGTGGAAAAAAGTTCTTACCTGTTTCTCTTTTTCTTTTAAGAAAAGGGATGGGACATGGTCAAGTGGCTCATTGAAATAATGCACAGAAGCTCTCATAGAGAATTAAAGGTGAAAGTGAAGTTCACTTCAGCTTCTTTTTCGAGTTTTATGAGGAGGAAATTCTGTTTACTGTGGAACTTGCTCACTAGGTGAAAATACGTCTGAAGATTTTTTTATATATATAAAACTTGCCCATTTCTTTTCTAAATCCAAATTTTTGCTAAAAATAGAATTCATTAACATCTATATGGAATAATGCCTTTAAATTACAGTCCTTTCCTCCCTTGGAAATATAAGCTACACAGTGTTTTTTTTCCAGTGAAAGCAGAGAGGTTTATAGTGACCCCCAAGCCCTGAGAGCAGTAACTTAGAGTTCAGTTATAGCCTTTTATGGTTTCATTTTTCTCCCACAAATGAATCTCAAGTGCAGCCTTTGCCAGCAATGTCGGCATGGACATCGTCCAGCCAGCTTTAGCAGTATATTAAATACCTTCTCTGGCTAAACAGACAAGCCCATGGAAAAGAATTAATTGTTGCTTTCTGCCTGCTCTCTATCTGGCAGGCAAGTATCTCAATAGCTAATAATAGTATGGAATGGTAATATGATCACCCAAATTAAAAAGGAGCCAAGGTATCTAAAGAGAATTTTCTAGAGAAGATGCTGCTTCCATCCTGAATAGAGAACAGTCTATGGGTAGCTATTAGAAATCTTAAGCTAGAATTTTGGAATGAAAGCTAATGCCATACAGTTTCTGCTAGCTGATTTTGAGAATATGCAGAAGGAAGAACCCACATCCCGTATTACTATTGTCCAGAGTTATTTGGTTTTTATTTTGTGTCCTGCTTTTCCACCAGCAACTGGTGTTCAAGGCAACTAACAAAATTAAGACCAAATTTTTAAAAAACCCATACTGTTTCAAAAATAGTGAAAACATCATTGAAAACACGACAACTCAAACAGCACCACCTAGCAAATTATCTTAGGTAGTAGTTAATTTACCTTAATAACAATATTTGCATACTGTTTAAAAAGAAATAGAAAGGAGACTTGTTTGACCATCCTTAGCAAAGCATTTCAGAATCTGGAAGCAGCTGCTGGAAAGACCCTCTCACATTTTCACCAAATGTGTTTTTGATTATGGCAAAAGGGATTCTCAAAGATCTCAGCCTCCCCTATAAAGGGCAGATAAACAGCACTTCCATTGATCTGAGCCAGTTTAAGAATGCAATAATAGCCGTGTGCCACAGCATGTAGTAATATCAACACCTGCAAAGCGTATTGAAGAGGAAGCTTTAAAGCTTCTTCCTGATGTGAGTCAAGAGGGAGTGATAAGATGCATCCGGTCCAATACTTGTCCTCCTGCGTATTTGTTAGGGTGTACTGCAGCCCTTATGAATATTTGAATAAGCCAAATAAACATGACTAGCTTTAAAACTGCTGGATAAGCTCAATAGTTGGTCCCTTCTGTTTCATACTGTGGCTGTGTCTCGGAGACCACCACAGGAAATTAAGTATGGCAGATTGTGAATGCATGGGAATACTTATTTAAAAACCTGGAATGCAAGAAGCCCAGGATTGGCATGATGTGAGCATTTAAGTGTGAAGTCCAGTGTGAATGTTTGCTTAACCTTTCCAGGCTATGGTATCTGCTTGAAGCTGCTGAAAGTTCTGGCAATAATTTAAGTATTTCCAAAGCAAGTAGACTAGAATTAATACAGCATCTGTGGCTGGGTCCAGGCTTTACTTGTGTGCCCCTGGTTTCACCCTGCTGCTATAATGGGACAAAGTGTTCTATGGGCAAAAAGGTGGGATAGAAATAGAAATAAATGCATAATAAAAATAAACAGGCTGTAATTATATAGAATGAGGGATGGCATAGCAAAACTAGCTCTTGTACTTCCAAGGAGATCAGCCAGTTAAGAGTTTGGAAGGCTGTAGAATTTATTTAGACGTAGTTCTACTTCTTTGTGGAAACAGCTGAGTCTGGTAAATGCTGGCCATTCATTGGACAGACAGAATAAGTCTACCAGGATCATTAGAAGAAAGGACTTAGACATTCCTATCTCAGTTATGCCCATGTATGTTATCTTCTAACTTTATCCTTACTTGCTCGTGAGAAAAAATTAAAGCAGTTGGTGGCCTGGCTGCAGTGAACTAAAACAGTTACATCCTACCCTTGACCTGTATGTGTTCTCATACTCTGAGAGTAATTATGTGCAAGTATATCCATCTGCATATGCACACTTTCAGTGTGCACAGAAATACTTTGTGTCCACTCCTAGAGTTCCCTGCAATCTAGAGAATGTGACCTAGGACACAAGCTTGCACATATATAACAAATACATACACAAATGTTTTTCAGGCTATTCTGTGCCATAATAATGCTGACAAAATTAAATACAAATTTGTGGAGAGAGAAATTTATTCTGCATTTTTTTCTTTTCCAAATGCTTTATAATGCTATTGACATTGCACTAGAGATTAAAAGTAATAGCATATTGGTACTTTAGAATTATAAAAACTTCTTAAATAAAAACCCAAACATTAGTTGTGAATCCTACTACTGCAACTAACCAGTTCATGCCAAGAAAGAAAGAAAGCATCCATTGTTTGTAAAACACAAGGGACAGACCCAGTAATGGGCTTTTATTAATACTACACTACAGTATGAATAAGATGCAATTGTATCAATCGTAATAAATCTTTTTACTGCAGTATTTCCAGCTGTAATGATTTCTTCCTAGCCTTAAGAAAGTTTTAACATTTATACACACACACACACACACACACACACACACACACACATATATATATACAGTATATACATATATATTTGTGTATAAACACACACACACACACATATATATATACAGTA